GGGTCGCGGGGCTCGGGCTCGCTCTCAGGCTCCGACTCGGAGACCGCCCAGGCGGCCGCTCGCCGGGCCGCACACCCCGGGCCGAGCCGCTCGCTCCCGGCCATAGCCGAGCCGCCGGCAACCGGGAGGCGCTAGGCCCTGCCCGTTGCCACGGGAACGGGGGGGGCAGCGCACCCCTCTATCGGCCCCGCCGCTCCTCGGCCCCGGCACGATAGTTCCGCCCGAGGCGGGTGTCGGGGCGGGCGCAGGGGCGCTGAGAGCGCGGGGCGGGGCGGGGGCGCGGCCCCTTTAAGAGCGGCGCCGCCATGATCTGCTTGGTGCTGGGGCTGTTCGCCGGCCTCTTCCAGAGCGGTGCGGGCTGGGCCGGGACCCCGCTTCCCCTGTGCCCCCGCGGCTGAGGAGCCCGGGTTGGTCTCCTTCTCCCTCTCCTCTCACGCCTCCGCCCTCTCCTTGCAGCCTGTAGCGGGGTCAACGAGCGCACCTTCGTGGCCATCAAACCGGACGGGGTCCAGCGGCACCTGGTCGGGGAGATCATCCGGCGGTTCGAGAGGAAGGGCCTGCAGCTGGTGGGGCTGAAGCTCCTGCAGGTGAGCGGCCCGGCCGGTACCGCCGCCGCCAGGGCGGGGGGGGGGGCCCCTGGGGCCGGGGGTGCCAGGCTGAAGTGAGGCCCTACAGGCCCCGGCTCTGCTGGTAACTGCCGGGGGGGTTCTACCTGCCTTCCAGCTTGTATAGGCTGCTGTTGTTATTCGGGCACCAAATCCCTCACAGGTCAGAGGGGGGTTGGCACCCAGGTGCCTAAACTGATTCTGGAGGAGTGGTACCAGTTGTGGGGAGCGTGCCTGCCGTTTGCTGTGTCCGTGCTCCAGGGCTCTCCTACGTGGCTGTTGTAAGCTGGCAGGTGTTGCTCCTCTGACCTAGAAACTTCTCCCCTCTGTGTGTCAGGTTCAGGAAAGCCAAGCCATTTCACTCCTGGAAGTGAGCATCTGTGCAGGACCTCAATTGTAACGTGGCACTATCCAGCTTTTCGTGCATCTCTCAGGTGTAGGCCTTGCCCAAATCGCCACCTGCTCAGAGCAGACTAACATTTGTGCTCTTTGTGCTCAGGCCTCAGAGGAGCTGCTGAAAGAGCACTACATCGCCCTTCGTGATCGTCCCTTCTACAGCCGGCTGGTGAAGTACATGAGCTCTGGGCCTGTGGTGGCCATGGTGAGTGCTGGCCAGGTTCTCTAGAACGAAGGAGCAGAAAGTAAGTGCAATGTTTAAGCAGTATTGGCTTGTGGTCCAATGGAGACAAGGTAGCCTCTCTCTTCAGAGGGCCCCTTGAAGCTGTACTGAACTGCAGAGACGTTTTCTGTGGTAAATTAAATCCACAGACAATTCTGATTATTTTCCAAAATCAACTTTTGAAGACTGTTTACAGAGAGACCTTTTCCTGGCTCTCACTCAGGTGGATCAGATGGGGAATTTAGAGGACAGATGATATGACCTGCTGGGGGAGTTGTGGAAGCTGATTCTTGTTTTGCTGTCACGTAGGTCTGGCAGGGCCTGGATGTGGTCAAGACAGTTCGCACAATGATTGGGGAGACTAACCCAGCTGAATCCAGGCCTGGCACCATCCGAGGAGACTTCTGCGTTGAAGTCAGCAAGTGAGAGCTTTGGCTTTTTGTTCCCTCAGTATTTCAGGGCATCCTTTCCAGGCATTCCTGTGCAAGGCCTGCCCTGCCAGTCTGCATCTGTGGCGCAGAGCTTCTCCCTTCTGTGCTCAGATCAGAGCTGTCTCCCTCTGACAGCTTGCAGAGCAGCCCTGGCAGGACAAGCTGCCCTCTGCCTCCTGGGCTTGCTTTCCTAGAAGGAGGAACCTGGGTTTGTGTCTTTCCTGCCTCCTGAGGCCTTGTCTGTTGAAAGCAGGTGGGATTTGCTTGTCTTTTTTTCTCCAGGGAATCAGGACTGTCAGGCCATGAAGAGGAAGGGAGGAGGCCTCTCAGTCCTTTCCTGGGGACCAGGGCACCTGGAGAGCTGCTCTAGCTCCACTGGGCATCTGAGTCTGTAACAAAAGCCAAGCGGGAGCTCTACATGTGCTAGGGCTCAGCACTGGTGAAGATCCACAGGTGGTGACCTTGGGTGCCTGCAGCCTGGCTTGTGGTAGACACTGCTTTTAACAAACCCTCCTGGCTTAGGTTTCTGTTTTGTGGTGTCTGATACCAAACCTGCTTCAATGGACCTACTTTGACAGAAGGAAGGGGGGAAATCTGGAGGCAAAACTTGAATTACTGTCGTAAAACCAAAGCAAACCCCAGATCAACAGCCACTTGCAGCTTGTCCTGTAGCAAAGAAATGGTTCCTTATAATGGGAGGAAGGAGTGCTGGCAACTAGCAGCTCCTGCACATCCATGACCTAAGCCATGTTCAGCGTAACCATGAACAGCCCCTGAGCTGCAAGGAAGAGGGCTGTGCAGTGGGAAAGAATATTGTAGGATGTGACTGGCTCAATCAGTTTAATGAAATTGGTCAAGGTGAAATTTTCCAAATTGCACCTTCCTTCTCCCACCTTTCTCTGCTTAGTGCCAGCTGATCCCTTTCTTCTTCCCCATAGGAATGTGATCCATGGCAGTGACTCAGTTGAGAGTGCCCAGCAGGAAATCTCCCTCTGGTTCCACCCGGAGGAGCTGACTTGCTGGGAGGACACGGCCGAGCACTGGATCTACGCGTGAGAAGAGCAGCCTGAGGGAAGTACGTCTTCCTGACTGGGCACAGGGTTTTTCCATCCATTTCATTGCAGCTGCTTGGGCTGGCTGTGGATCCTGGTGCGGTGTCGCGTGCTTTGGGGGTTTCTGTTCTGTGGGTGGGTGGAGGGGTGCTGGTCTGTGTATGTAACTCTGTGGCTCAGCTCCCTGCAAGAGTAGCTGTTTCTTTTTTTCTTCTCTCTGCTGTAATAAGTAGGTAGTTGGTATTGTTGCTTTGTTTGCTGCAGTATCTTAAATACCAAATAGCTCAAGGCGATTTATTGAAGTGAAAACTGGGCTCTATGCCCATTCCTGTGTGTTCTCAGACCTGCCTGGCACAGGAGAATGTGTGCTCCTTGCTGCTGGGAGAGGTGCTTTGGTCGCTACAAGGTGATGTGATAGATGTCATCTACCTGCATTTCTGTAAGGTTCTTCACCAAAGGCTTTTAAAGAATTAGGGCGCTATGCGGTAAGGAGGAAAGTTTCCCCCCGGGGTAAGAGCTTGTTGCAAGACAAGGAATGAAGGACAGGACAAATAGCTTGCTTTCCCTTGGTGGGATCTTTGTGTGCCAGGGCTGCTACAAGTTTACCCAGCTTCAGATGTGATTAGTGAGTCCATGGAAGGAAGATTCACCAAATGCTGTTAAACACACAGTTTGTCTGGCTCTGGTTCCTGGCTGCAGGTGCTGGGAGCAGGGAAGCAGCTTCTCCAGGTCTGCTTTGGTTCTCTGCGGGCCTCCGATGCTGGCTGCATGGCTGCTGGCCTGACCCAGCACAGTTGGTCTCATGCTGTCCCTCCATGGTGACTGACACACGCTAGTGAAGCAGCAGCACTGCACAAACCACAGAAGTAGAAGGGGGAGAGTGAGGTGGGGAAGGATCTGTAGATTTGGGGCTCAGGAAGGACTGGGAGGGCTATTTAGTCCTCTCTCATGTGCAGTGCAGGCTGTGGAGTCCTGGCACCAAGCTCTGGGAGATCCTGAGATCTTCCTTGTCTGATGGTGGAGCTTCCCTGCCAAGAGGGTTTCTGGAAACCCAGTTTGTAATAGGTTGGACGCCTTGAACCTGCTGTGAACTCTCCCTGGAACATCAAACTCCTCTGAGCTGTGTTGAGTCCGAGCTCCCTGCACAGCCTTGCTGGAACATAAGGGCAGGGACAGTGACAGCGACATGGCACCCTGCTGTGGAATGGGGGCATGGTTAAACCCAGGGAATGAGGTCCCCTGGGGCTTTCCTGCATGTAGGGTGTGGTGTTCTCTCTCCCTCTCTCTCTCTCCCCCCCCCCAGCTTTGTAGCTGCGGGGAAATGAGTGCAGTTTTCTGGGGGCAGAGAGTAAACTGCCCCGGTGGGGCTGAGCGGGGACGTGCCAGCAGTGACACAGGAATGGGCACGGAGGGGATGGAGGGTCTCTCCCTGGTGACCGGGGTTTTCCTCAGCTGCCCGACTGCCACAGCCAGAGCTCCTTCTGCCTTCAGGGCCTTCTCCAGGCGACTGGTTACAGCTCTAAATATGGGTCAGATCTTGTTTGTTCCCGTAACTCGTCCATTTGCTGTTTTTATAATAAACTGTAAAGTTCCATGGTCTCTCCCACTGGTTATTTTCCTCAGGGACTGGGAGGGCGGAGGGGGCGGTGGCCGACGCCTGGGTGCCTCTCGGTGCGCTGAGCGGGGGGATGCGAGCAAGGGCTGTTGACAAAGCGGCTTCGCCAACACCGAGCCGCCGCCGGCCGGCTGGCGGCCGCCATCTTAGCCCTCCCCCTGCCGCAGGTGTGAGGGCCGCGCCCGCGATAGGTCCGCCGTCGTCACGTGGGTTCGACCGGCGGCGAATGTTCGCGCAGCGCTGTGCCCGGCTTCAGCGCGAGAGCAGCGCCCCCTGCAGGCCGGCGGCGGTGAGTGCGGGGAGGCCCTTCCCCTGGTGTGGAGTAATTACAGAGGTGGCTTAGAGATTAAACCCGTATTAAAGGTATGGCATTGTTCACACATTAAGGAAAGGTATAACGTCGAAGAAGCTTTCAGGGTGGAACGCAACGGGTGTGAAAGGGATCCATTCCACAGTGGTTCCCTGTAAAACAGCACGGTGGGTGAAGATCCGTGGCCAGGCTCTGTGAATCGCTGCAGAGATGGGAACTTCATGGTACTGTGGTACTGATAAGCTGCATATTTGCCACCCTGGGCCAATAGTTTGTCATATTTTGACAAAATGCTGTCCTTTGTGTTTGCTCATTATGTCATAATAATACCAAACCACACCTCCATTCCAAAGACTACCGGTCTCCAAAGTGCAACCACCCCTCGCCAAGCCTGTGCTCTGAAACTTTGTTAATCTACAGCTTTAAAAGCAAAGCGAGAGAATTTTATACCAATCATAATAAAGGTATGTGTGACTAGAGTCACTCAAGCTCTACCTTGGAAGAATTGTATAAAAGTGGCCTAAGAAAGGGGGGGTTGTTAGGGAAGGCATCATTGGAAACAAGTCAGGGAAGATACCATGACGGACAACCTCTGACTCCTGGGATCAGCTGACGGGCTGAGCCTTCCCCCCCCCATAGGGACGCCTTTGGGTAAGATCTAGACTATACCGAGCGCTTACTCAGAAAACTTAGAAATCTCTATATAGAGAGTCGCTTTTCTTATTTCACGTGCTGTATTATTCATAATCTCAATGTTTGCACATGCTTTCGCAGACAGTGTATTTATCACCGGCAATCCATAAGAAACTGTATTTCTGTTGCTCTAATAAACTGTGCTATTCGTTAAGCTAGCCGTAAAGGTTTCTTGCTGGGCACTGCCAAACTCTCTAAGTCCGGCCTTGTGAGTCCATGGAGCACGACTAAGCTGAAAGTGCGGTGCACTCTTAGTGCATCTGTAATTGTGAGAGTTCAGTAAGTTGAACGCGACCGGACTAATAGTGCCAAATGGGACATCACTCCGAATCCAAACCTAGCCGCCCCCAGCCCCTCTGATATCGGAGGACAAGCTGGAACACAGGAGGGTTTATTTTCTGCCAAATTACTCTTTCGCGCGACGCCTGGCCAGCGGCGTCCCGCGCCTCCCCCCTCGGCACCAGGGACCCGGTTCCCCTCAGCCCCCCGCGGGTGCCGGGGCCGGGGTCGCTCTCCCCGGGGCTGACGAGAGCCGGTGCCGTTGCCGGCCTGTGAGGCCGTTGCGGGACCCGTTGGTTTAACGGTGTTTCGGGCGGAGTTCTGAGGAGACGGGGCTCTAACCCGAGCTCTCCGCGCTTCCCGGCCCGGCGGGGAGAGGGGACGCGGCTCTGCCCGAGGCGGCCGCAGGGCGGTGGAGCCGGGGGCTGCTCGGGGCGGATCGGAGGGCAGCGGGGATGTGCCGGTGCGCGGCCCGGGGCCGGGCCGGGGGTGTCCGGGCCTCCGCGCAGCGGGAGAGCTGCCGGCCGGAGCGGAGCTCTGGCCCGGGGCGGTGCAGCCCCAGGCCGGCCTTTCTGCCCGGGGCTGCCGGGCCGTGTCCCAGCAAGTCTGGTGGGGTCGTTTGGTTTCCTCGAGAGCTGTATTTCCTTCAGCCTTTCGAAATGGAGTGGTGCGGTGTGGAGATGGAGAGCTGGGGATGGACAGAAGTGACAGCGTGGGGGGCTGTCAACGTCGGAGGGAATTCTGGTTCGAAGACTGACTTCTTCCTTTCTTCCTTTCTTTCTCTTTAATGATTGCAGCAAGGGCTAGCAGCATGGGCATTTGTCATTTCCTGAGAAAACTTTGGAATTAAATGACTTGTTCCACTGCCAACGTCCCAAGTTATCCTTAACCAGACAGTGAAATCTGTATCTGTGCAGCTGGGGACTGGTAAGACTTGGCCATAGCCATGACAGAGCCACGCAGGGTTTCGTTCACCACTCTTCACGGTCCACCGAGCAGCAGCTTTGTGAACTCTGGGAGAGGCAATGGAGAGCAGTGCCAGAACCCTGAACCAGCTGCAAAAACTGTTCGAATTGCACTTACTCTCTTCGAGCCGGACCACAAACGTTGTCCAGAATTTTTTTACCCAGATCTTCTGAAGAGTTGTGAGAAGGTAAAAGGTGGTTCTTCAGAAGACAAGGTAAGTGTCCTTGTGGCCTGTGGGGAACCTGTGTTGTATCTGGAGATTTCAAAGGCTTTTTCGGTATTGCTGTTTTAGTGGTGTTTTGAGAGTTGGTTGTGTGTTAGCTGTGAGGTGCTGAGAGGTGGAAGGAGAGCAGTTAGGCATCCTGCAGGCAGAAGAACTGGCTTCCAGGCAGGGGTTCTTGTCATCAGGCCACACTGTTGCAGTCCCTTGCCTTGGCTGGAATCTCACGTCGGAAAGGTGATGTGTTGGTGGCAGAGTGTGGGAGGTAATGCTCGTGTTGTTTGGAATTGCTTGATCTAAAGTGATTTTTGGTACATGGCTTGCTAGGAGCTATGAGGAGCTCTTTTCCAAAGAGCATCAAAAGGAGAGATGCTTCTACGATAGGTGGCTGTATCTTTTTTGGGACCCTGCCCTACTAAACATGAACATTTCCACCTTAGTGGCTGGCATCTCTTCCTGTGTGGTGGACGTGGTGCTTTGAGGCGTTGCCTGACAATTCTGTTTGCCTGTTGAAAGCCGTTTCTCAGGACACAATGGCGTGCAAACTTCTGTAGCATCTGATCTTTGTCTTATGGGTGTTTTTCTATGAAAAGAAAGTTGATTGGATTCTGCTAATTTTTACTGTTGCTCTTCAGAACTGTTTAGCAGTCAGTTGATGCGTTGTGCTGCTTTTTGGGGGGGGAGGGGTTGAGAGTCAGGAGAAGCAGAGACAGGTACGGAACTAGCTGAGAGAGCACCCAAAACCTGGAGACATTCTCAGAATACTGTACTAAAGGTTGATTTGTTTGAGCTTCTGCCTGGATGTTCTAGTTGTGATGCATTTAATGCATAGGTTATTGGTGGCAGTGTGACAGGATTGATTCTGATGTTTTTTTCTCGCTTATTTGTAAAGAAGACAGACTGTGCTGATCCTTTTAATGGTGATGAAAAAGAAAAGCATGAAGAGGAGGCTCTTGCTAGGAAGTTTGAAGAAAAACATGTTTGTTTATCTTCCTTATATTATGTTATCCCTTAGAATTGGCAATGCTGTTCAGCTCTCAACCAGTTAACGCTGGTTGGGTTCTGCTGCTGCTAGGAGCAAAAAAGGTCTCATTCACTTTTCTGCACTGGAGCCAATGTCAGTGTCCTGTATCAGGGCTATCCCTGTGGTAACTGGAAAAGAAAGATGAAGACGTTGTCAATCTCTTATTGTTTAGGGTGGCAAGAGACGTAGAAAGGACCGTATTCAGGACTTGATTGATATGGGGTATGGATACGACGAATCTGACTCCTTCATTGATAATTCTGAAGCAGTGAGTACTGGGGCAGGTGTGAGGGTGGTTAAAGGCAGCTGCCTGGGGGGGTCTGAGCTGGCACCTGGGGAGAACCCAAACTGGGTGCAAGCCAGGAGTGTGCCAGGGCTGGGGAACGAGAGATCCTGGGGCAACCATGTGGCAGGAGAATGCTGGTTAGCAGGCATGTCCATAGCCCTGTCTGTTCTTGGGGGAGCCAAATCCCATGCCATTCTCCAAGCAGCTCAGCTACAGAGTAAAGTAACAAAGCTTACAGTGCCAATAGATTGTTCTCTGTTATTTCCAGTATGATGAGCTTGTTCCGGCTTCTCTTACTACAAAGTATGGAGGGTTTTACATCAACTCAGGAACACTGGAATTCCGTTCAGCGTCTGAATCTGAAGATGACTATGTTAAAGAGAAAAAGAAGTGTCCCAAGGTCAGCAAGCCAGCTTTCTGAATTACTTCTTCTGTTAGAGTTTGGAGGGTTTGCTGGATGGAAGTGTGTTGACATTCCAAGTAGAGTGAGATTTGTGAATTGATGTGAAGAGAATAGGGATGAGCACTTGAAATCCCATTCTGTCTGCATATTTGATAGTAAAATGAAACATGTCTGCCACGGATGAGACTCTGGTGGGGTTGCCTGGTTCCTAGAGTAGAGGTGACAGCAGCCCCTTGTCACTCTGAAAAGTCGCTTAGTATTATGAGGATGCCAAGATATGTGTGAGGGTTCTTTTCTTTCTCATCTGAGGCATGCTGGAGACTCTGCTGGGAAGCTAGTGCTCCTCTTTGGTGTCAGCATCTGTTGGCAACAACCTGCTTTTCACAATGCTGAAGTGAGGTGGCTATGAGGGGAAACAGCAGGAGCACCTGGCATCCCTTCACCTTTATTGATGGGATTGTCTCTGGTGCAAAAGCTAGGTGTGCTGTGAAGTGTTGAAGACAGTGTGTACCAGAACCATGGTGATAGATGTCTGGGGTTTGGGTTAATGTGTCCGGTGGGGAAGGAGCTGTTCTCACATTCTTGGGAGAGGGCCCGAAGTGGCTCTGGGGGATCAGGTCCAATTCCTTGAGCAGGAGTTGCTTTGATTTTGACTTGGTTTTAACCCTCTCCAGAAGCGGAAGTTGAAAGATGGAGGTGAAAAAATGAAGAAGAAGAAGAAAGATGATTCTTATGACAAGGAGAAGAAATCCAAAAAGTCCAAGTTTCCAAAAGCTGGGTAAGGAGGAGGAGGAGGAGGAAGAGGCGGAGGAGGGAATGCTTGCTGCTTGACAGCTTGCTTCAGGTGGCATTTGTTATGCTGCAGTAGTACCTGTTGCAGTGGGGGGTGGCTTGAGTGCATGCTGCATAAACACCAGGAGGTGAACCCCCGTTGCTTCCAAAGTGGGAGAAAAAAGGCAGCTGACAATCAGGGAAGGAGCAGAGCTCCACAGCAAGAGTGTCCCAGCAAAGAGGGTCAGAGCTAGCTGCAGTGTTGGTGTTTCTTGGAGCTCTGTTTAGGCGCTAATGGTGGGAGCAGATACTGGAGAGCCTGAACAGAAGGAAAAGGTATTTGCTGTCCTGGCTTTAGTAGGCAAAAAGCATCAAGCTGCTGTCATGCTAACTCTCTCTTGCTTCAGTTCCTCTGCAGTAGTTGTTTGTGCATTTCCCAATCTTCCTTGCTGGAATAATGCGTGTAGCTAAATAAGAGCATAACTTAGTGGAGATGGTTTAAGCTCCATCATCTCTCTGCAGTGAGGAAGGACTTGTACATCAATGCGAGACTTGCACTGTGGCAGCCCTGTCCTTGATGTGAGCAGTTGCACAGGTGCTGAACCTGTTGCATGAGTCTTTCTCCTTCCCCTCGGTTTCAGGTTGCACAGCTGTGAAGAGCTTTACCTTGGGATCTTTAGAGTAGGGGGCCATGGGTGGAAAGACAGTTGCTCTGTGGAGGGCAGCTACACTCTAGACCTTAAAAATGGAAGCCATGGCTTATTTGTGAAGTTGAGTTGAGAGGCAGAGAAGTGTGCAGAACAGCAGTGTTGTGTATCCTCAAGTCTCCCTGATTTCCGATAGATGGGTATATTTTCCTCTGCTCAAGTAGAATCTGATTTAGGGTAGTTCCATTAAACATCATCCAACTTTCCTGTCATTCCCCACCTGTTGTTTCATGGGCAACACTTATTGAATCTGACATAGGAGTCGTGGGACAAATGGATTCAGAAAGCATAGAGGATTACAGAAAAGGAACTGAAACTTAAAATTTAAAGTTGGGTAAGTGAACACCTGATAGATAAGTTATTAAAAAAAGAGAGAGATAACTGAATGAAAATGCCTTATGTCGTTTAGGGTATCTGGTTCCAGGTGAAGTGTCAGGACTTCAGTCTTATCCTTAACTCTCAGGTATGACTTTAGGATCATAGAATCATAGAGTATCTCAAGTTGGAAGGGACCCATAAGGATCATCGAGTCCTCGCAGGACAACCTGAAACTGAACCATATGACTAAGAGCAGTGTCCAGACGCTCCTTGAACTCTGACAGGCTTGGTGCCATGACCACTTCCCTGGGGAGCCTGTTCCAGTGACTGACCACCCTCTTGGTGAAGAACCCTTTCCTAAAATCCAATCTGAACTTCCCCTGATGCAGCTTCATTCCATTTCTTTGTGTCCTATCGCTGGTCACCAGAGAGAGGACATCAGCACCTTCCCCTCCACTGCCCCCATTTAAGGAAGGTGTAGACTGCGATGAGGTCACCCCTCAGCCTCCTCCAAGCTGAATAAGCAGCAGGACCTTGAGAGGCCACAGAATATTTTTCTGGTGTAATTGGTTAAGGGGCTAAGCCTTTCCAGGGGATTGGAGCATATGGCTGAAGTGAACTGGGATGAAGGTATCCTCGTCTCTTCCCCTTCATCTTGTATTCAGTTCCCTTCCCTCCTCCACACTTTGTTTACAGCTTTACAGTGTTAGATGCAAGTAAGGAGAAGAAGAAATACTCCGGCCCTGTTAGTGTCAAAGAAATGCTGAAGAAGTTTCAGAAAGAGGAGGATGCTCAGAAGAAAAAAGATGAAGAGCAGAAAGTGGAGACTCCTTCGCTGGCAGAACCTCCAGCCCCAAGGGTGGTGGAGGCGATGCCTGACCCTTTGCTCTCACTCTTTGGCCATGCCAGTGATAACGACCTGCTTCAGGCAGTGACGGCTATGGACTCGTTAACTGACCTAGACCTGGAGCAGCTCCTCAGTGAATCCCCAGAAGGGAGCCCCTTTCCTGATGTGGAGGATGGGAGCGATCCTATTGGGATGGGCTTGGAGCAGGACTTCAAGCAACTGCCATCCCTCCCAGAAGGCCTGCCAGCCCCCTGCACTTCAGCTGCCAGGAAGAACTGCAGAATAAATGAGGCCGCTGACATCCTTTTGTTCTTTTTCCAGATACTCTGAAACTAGATTAAAAGGCATAGTTTGGGATAGAGGGCTTGAGTGTGTTGATTCTAAAATCTAAAGAACCGTCATGTAGTTTGGCTTGTACTTTGTCCCCCTCTCCCTGCCTCCAGCTCCCCAAGTTGCATAAGAGTTGCATTTATGTTGCTTAGAGAACCCCTGCCAGGTCCCTGGTCAGTGCTGTGTTTGTCTTGTTCTTCAGCATAGAGCTGCAGACTCGGGAGCTGAACAGCCAGATCCGGTCAGGGGTGTACGCCCACCTGGCTGCTTTCTTCCCATGCAGTAAGGACACTCTGGTCAAGCGTGCCCGTAAGCTTTATCTCTACGAGCAGGTGAGTGAATTTGGCAGCACAGCCCTGCCTCGTGTGCATGTTACCCCTGATCTCCAGAGCACGGTTGTTGTCTGCCTAACGTGGTGCTGTCCTCCACTGAGCATGGTTCAGGCAGCACATCTGGTGGTGTGGATTCAGAACTGGCCAGGTCTCGACCTGCCAGATTTGGGTGTCTTGGCTGGAACACACCACGCGGAACTTCATTCTGTTCTGTGACTGCTCTAGGGTGGCCGCTTGAAGGAACCTCTACAGAAGCTAAAGGAAGCCATTGGAAGGGCCATGCCAGAGCAGATGGCCAAGTACCAGGAGGAATGCCAAGCCCATACTCAGGCCAAGTTTGCCAAGTAAGCTCCTTGTTTGCTTGTTATGCATCTGTAGCTCTTCTCAGCAGGCTCCCTGTGAGCTGTAGGCTGCTTTCATGAAGTTTGCCACCTATTTTTGTTCTGTAGTTAAAAATTGCTGACGGGCATCAATTGGCCTAATTAAGCTGCGTGCGTTCTTTGTGCTACCTATGGCAATGCCAACTACAGCAGCATCAATGGGACCAGAACTTGGCTGGTGTTTCACTTCTGTGCGGCCATGTCTTTAGGAACGTGGCAGTCTCAGAACAGTAAGGCTGGATTAGTCCCGTGGTCTCTATCACACAATACTGGGAGCTTTCTTAACCTTGAGCACTTTGCTCAGCTTGCACCCTAAGGCCCTCTTCTCATGCGTGTGTTATCACTGACTATTGAAACCTCTGAACAGTGTTGTTCAGAGATACTTAATCCTGTTCTTGAATCTCCAGGACAATGACTTTCACGTTATCTCTGTCCCCGTTTTAGGATGCTGGAAGAGGAAAAGGACAAAGAGCAGCGAGATCGAGTTTGTTCTGATGATGATGAGGATGAAGAAAAGGGAGGGAAGCGTGTCATGGGACCGCGAAAGAAATTTCAATGGAATGATGAAATCAGGTTTGCGTAATTTAGATACTAAGTGAACCCGTGGCTTCTCTTATTCTGTGCAGTTGGAAGTGAAGCATTTTGGTATTTGTATCTTGTTTTCAGAGCAGCGCTGAACATCTGTAGTAACAGTCAGCTTGGAGGTTTGTGGCAGACTGTGGTGTTTATGGAGCCACTGTTGCATTTATTAAATCTCACCCTTATATGCGTTGCAAAATTAAGCTGATTTCAGGCACCGGCCGGCTCTGAGAGAAGTGCTAAGAAGCCTCTGTGCTGAGGCCAAAAGAGAGGGACAGATCTTTGGGAAAAGAAGGAACTTGGCTGAATTGCTGAAATCCTGCAGACTAGACTCTCAACAAGACCAGATGCTGGTTGTGAAAGCACTTAAAGCTAATTGGGGATGGGCGCCCCCGGCACCCAGGTGTCTGACAAAGAACAGAGTGCTGGGTGAAGGGGAGAGTGACGAAAGATAAAATGAGACTCAATCACGCTGTCTTCTTGATCTTATTCTGTACCAAATTGGGGTGCTGCTCCGTAGATGGCTGATTCATTTAGAACAAAGCAAGCTTCACTTCCTGCCTTCTCATTGCCTCTCAGCACGAAGGTCTGCAGAGGGGTTCAGTTCTGTGGTTGTTAATGACGCCTGTAATTCTGGCGCTGGTTTACTACCTCTGCTGTTTCAGGAGATTGAAATGGGAAGGGGTAACAAGGCTTTTCTCCCCTGGCGCATTGATGCGCGTGCACACGCAGAGCGAGGAACGTGCCTTTCCCTTCCTCTTTCCTGTGGAGGCAGTGCAGGGTCGGTTTTATTAGCGAGGTGCTACACAGAGCCAGGCGTGTCTTGGCGTATTTATCCAGCCCTGGATAAACAGAATGACCTCCAACTGGGGAAAGTTAATTCGCGTAACTGTATTTGAAATCTTCCTGTTCTTCAGGGAGCTGCTTTGCCACTTGGTGAAGATTAAGTTGGATGGTTATGACCTTGACAAGAATAAGGCTCAGTCCCTAGAGGATTATGTGAAGACCTTCCTAGATGGAGAGGTGAAGCCCCTTTGGCCAAAAGGCTGGATGCAGGCCAGGTGAGCAAGAATCGAGTTGTACTGTAGGGATTCCTTGTCCTAAGGGACCTCGGAAGGTCATTAGTCCTAACCCTGCTCAAAGAATGGCTAGCTTCAAAGTTAGATCGGAGTGCTCAGGGCCTTGTCCTGTGGAGTTTTGGACATCTCCAAGGATGGAGGTCACCACAGCATCTCTCTGGCTTTTGTTAGCCAAAATGGGAACACGTTAATGCTTACAGCTTTGGGTTCAGAGCACTGAACCATCCCCGGTGGGACACTGCAGGATAGTTCAGGCCTCAAACAACTCTCCAGTGTGCAAACTTAGGATTTACCCTCTTAAACGGTAAAAAAAAAAGAAATATAAACCCTGACAGGCCTTCAAAACAAATGTCCGCTTGTGCTTTGGCTTAGCGATTGCTCCCTGAGGGCCTTTGCCCATCCTTGTCCCCTCTGTGCTTCCTGAACAGATTTTGTCTGGGTGTGGGACAACCAGTCAAAATAAGTCGACGGCCACCCTGCTGACCTGCGACAACCGCAAGGTGAACTTCCACATGGAGTACAGCTGTGGCACTGCTGCCATCCGGGGAAACAAAGAGCTGGCAGACAGGCAGCACTTCTGGGAGATCAAGATGACTTCCCTGATCTATGGCACGGACATGGTACGTGGGGCAGAGTTGCTTATGGGTACACGAACTGTCCAGTATTCTTTGAACAGGACAGCAACCTTCTCCAGCAGTTCGGCTGGGCCGCCTCACTTAGGTAAGGAAACTGGAGCTGGGAGCCTTCAAGTCCATCCTGAAACCTCTGACATAGATTCATCAAAACCTCTGGGTGTTTTGGGCTGTGCCAAGAAACAGAGGGGAGAGCTGGAGGTGGAGTCTTGGTTGTGTTTTGTTGCTCGAAAAGACACTAAGCTTGTGTTCTTCTCTCTGGCCTTGCCTCCCAGATGGTGGGAATTGGGACATCAGATGTGAATCTGGACAAGTACCGCCACACCTTCTGCAGCCTGCTGGGCAAGGACGAGGACAGCTGGGGACTGTCTACACAGGTAACGCAGGCAGGGCAGTGGCAGAGGGCAGGAGGGCTGGAAGGGCAGCAGTGGGCATAAGTGTTGTCCAAAGGGGTTGAGAAGTAAATGATCTGAATGGGATCGAGGCCAAAAAGGCCACCAGGCCTGCAAGTTAATGACAACAGGAGTGGCTGCCTGCAGCCCTTAGCTCTTGGAGCATCTCACCTCGCCTGTGTTTTGCAGACCCCTTAGGACTGGTGTGTGAACCTCCAGGGCACCTGGACTACTGGTTGCACGTCACTGGTTGGGGGTTTCAGTGCCGCTGCCTGCACTCTGGTATTGCAAAACCTCGAGTTTCCTCTTTATGTCACCCACTCTGGGGTGGGAGGGCAGGGATCAGGCAACAGGGGGATTTTTTAGGCACTGAGCAAGGCTGTACCAGTGGGAATTCGCAGTGCAGGAGTTGTGATAGATTAATGGAGCACAGGCTTTCCACTGAATGACTTTTTTTTTTTTCTCCTTATTTTAAGGACTCCTGCATCACAAAGGAGACAAAACCAACTTCTCTTCGAGGTTTGGCCAAGGCTCCATCACTGGGGTGCATTTGGACACGTGGCACGGGACACTCACGTTCTTCAAAAAACACAAGTGCATAGGTAAGAGCAAGGGCAGCCGCAGTGGCTGGCAGGCAGAGGGACTGGGAGGGGGGGGCAGCGCAGCTTTGGCTGAACTCCGAGTTTGGCTGCAGCAGGGCTGCAGGAGAAAATGCTGGCAAAGTAGATGACCAAGGTGTGAAGCAAGTGGGAGGGAAAGTTACATTTGTTGTTTAATAGATGCATTGAAAAGACCTGTTGACTCCAAGGTCCCAGCTCTGTGCAGCAGGTAAACTGCAGCCAAAGAGCTGAGCTTCATCTTCTGACTTGCTCTCAAAGCCATTGCCTCTTCCTGAAGGATCCATCCCTCTTCTCACTGTCAGCAGAGACAAGATTTAAGGTGCCCTCCTGGTTTCAGAGCATACTAGACTCTAGTCAGATCATGGTCTTGACTCATCAAAAGACAAAATCAAAGAGCAGCCCCCTCCTCCTAATTGTCATGTGTTGGTTAGGTATCTGCCATGAACTCCTCACACTGGGGCACGATCGAGCAGCAGCACGTAGGGAAATGGGCTCCTAGAGATGCATCTGCATCACTGTTGTGAAAGAGCAGTTACTTACACGAGCTGTTAGTGATCTTTCTCAAGTCCCTGGTTGTGGGAGCAGCTCGGAACACCTGGCATTTGTTTTTGAGTGAACGTTAGAATTTGTTTTGCTGCATGTTTGCCAAGCCTTTGAAGTAGTTTTACAAGGTCAGGTCGGAGGATGGCCTGGTGTACGCCTGGGAAGATGTGGCTGAAGACAGTCACGAGTATGTGTGTGGAATGTATTTATCTTTAAGTGTTTTGAGGACTGGCAAACATCCCAGCTGAGCCAGATATGCGCTCCTGTTTTAGTAACATATAAGTATGCTGTAAGAGACAACAAAGAGGTCTTTTTGCCGTTGCTTCGGAACCATCTCATCATCCTGAGGGCCTTTTTCACCCGGTGACTTTAATTGCTTTGCATGTTGGCTCCTGCTGCTTCTCCTGTATCAAAGACTGTATTAAACTGTAATAATAAAAGTAGAAACTGTCTTTCATTCCTCTTCCGGCCCTTGGAGGCAGGCGTCTGAAGGCGCTTGTCAAAAATAGCCACGCTAGCATAGCTACCAGCCTGGAGGGGATGTTTTCAATGCAACAATTGTGTGTCACATCTAAAGGAGGTAAAGGCAGTGGAGATTACCTTGCCTCTGCCCCGGGAGGGAGGGTTCTTGTGCTTCCCGCTGAAACACCCGTCTGGCTGGGTGTAGTGGTGCATTTCTTCCCCCTCTCTGGGCTGATCTACAAACTTGGGAAGTCTCGGTAGGCCTTAGCATAAGTGTATTGAGTTGTGCAGTTAAGCATCCCTTGACTGCACCAGGAACTCTTGCATGGCTAAGACAGGGAGCTGCACTGACCATACCAAGGACTGCTGTTGCCCAGTGGAGGCTGAGGATGGGAGTAGGGATAGTCAGTAATTTCCTGACAACCTTGGGACATGTTTCAGTCCTCTCCTGACAGCCTTGGAGCATCCTGTATCTGAATCTTAAGTAATTCTCTGACAGCCTTGGAGCCTTCCTTATTGGAATTGTAACTCATGTGAAACGGTACCAAGGCTACTGGAGTCCCAGTAATTTGCTGATGACTGAAGCCAATCATCTCCCAAACCCATGAACAGCGGTACTAAGTGAGAGCCTTTGAGCTCTCCTGCACTGCAGTGGGCTGCAACCAGCATCTCCCTCCGAGTGGGATGCTTCTCGGAGCTCGCAAACTCTTTGGTTTGCCAAGACCGGAGGTCTGTTGCTGAAAGCTGACAACACTTGGGCTGATACTCTCTGCTCCTTGAGGCTCAATCCTTTGCCCATTGAGAAAGATGCTGAAGCACTTGACGTGAGTATTTTCACTGAACTCAAGGGGAATTTTTAACAGGTATATACCTCTTTTACTTGCTTATGTATATCTCTTAGTGTCTTTGTGCATGTGTGTGTGTACTAACCTGAATATTTTATAGCAAGTATATTACTGCTTTTCATCTATACATAAGTTAACTGTTGTGAACTTTATTCAACTGTGAATGAATCTCTGGCTGCTATTATAATCCTTTTAGATATAAAGCGTTGACCAAGTCTGGGACTAGGAGTGGATCCAGCCACACCTAAGCTCCATCAGGAGTTTAGAAAGCAAGGGGGTCTTCTTTGAACCTTGTGACTCAATGGGAGGGTCTCCCCTACCTTTTTACATTCCTGATCTCTGTAAATCAATTCTAACCCAATTTTCCTTTGTATGTTTCTCTCTTAACCTCTTGCATTGTGGGTTTCATAGTCTTAGTTTGATTCTAACTTAGTTTTCCTTTGTATGTTTCATCTATGTATTAAGTAATAGAGTGAACCTTGCCATCAAATTCTGTGAATTTGCACGTTTATGTAAATTCCTATTAAATCATTCTTTGCTAGTACCACTGGAGGTGATTCTTTTGGCGGTCCAAACCCCTCCATTTTGCGACACTGGGATGGATCTTCAGCGGAGCCAGACTGGTGCCACAGCACCACGTGCTTGTGGCAGCCTGGCAGCAGAACCAGGCGGGCTCTGCCGCTCCTGCAGGACTGGATGCCAACGCCGTTCCAGTCCCTGTGGTTTCTGACTGCTTTCCGCAGGGCCTGCGGTCAGCTTGTGGGGCTTTTCCCCAGCCTTTGACCTCTCCTCCACTGAGCAGCACATTTGTGGATGATTTAGGTCTGAGCTGGCACCATCAGCAGAGGATACTGTGAGAGACAGCACCAAAAGCTTTGCTAAAATCCAAGACCACCACGTCTACCAGCTTCCCTTGGTCAACTCAGTGGGTGACCTGGTCATAAAAAGAAATTAAGTTGGTTAAGCAGGACTTTCTCCTTGTTAACCTGTCCTGGTTATTGTCGTTGACTATGGACAACAGCTGCATTGTCTCTCAAGTGTTTTTCAGTAACTCCTGGAACAACCTTCTCCATGATTCTACCAGGCACTGAAGTGAGACTGACAGGTCTGTAACTACCAGGGTCTTCCTTCTTACCCTCCTTGAAGATTGGGACATTTGCAGTCGATGGGGACCTCTCCAGACTCCCAAGACTGCTGAAAAATAACAGAGAAGTCCTGTGATGACATTGGCCAGCTCTGTTGGTACCCTGGGATGGATCCCATCAGGCCCTGCAGCTGTATGTGCATCCAGCTGGAGCAGCTAGTCCCAAACAAGGGGTCAGGGTCAGCTGGGAGTTTATCATCCCCCCAGTCATGGTCCTCCAGTGCACGGCTCCGGGGGTCCCAGTGCTTACAGCCTTCCTCACAACTTCCACTACTTTCCTATTCTGTTGCCCCTTATCCTCACCTACGTTCCTTAAGTTATACTTAATTCTACCAAATACATCTCAGCTTGTTTAAACACTCCTGGGCCCAAGAGGGGCAGGATGAACGCAGCTTCCCGGAGGCAGGAGTGTGCCACATCATTTATTTCTACCAGGCTCCACCGAGCACTGCTCTGTAAGCGACGGGGCCGCGGACAGCTGCTCTGAGAGCCCCGAAACAGCCGCCGCTGCCACCCCTCAACCTCCGGTGCCGGCCCACGGCCCCCACACCCCTCCCGGGTCCTCCCCACAGCGCCCCAAGGGACCGCGGCGCCGGGCACGGAGCCCCAGCGGCCGCTGCGGCGCGCTCCTCCGGGTCACGGCCGCCCCCTTAGCGCCGGCAGAGCCTCAGCCGCTCTCCCGAGGCGCGGCTCGGGGCGCCGCTTCGCAGCCGCCATCTTGCCCCTCCTTCCCGCCGCCGCGCGAGGGGCAGCCGGGACGGGGCGGCTCCGGCAGCGAGGATAGGTCTGCCCTCATCACGTGGGTAGGCCGGCCGTCAGGGCGCCGTTCCTCCGAGGCGTGACTGCGGCGGCGGCGTCGATTGGGCGCCGGCCGCGCGGCTTCAGCGCGAGGGCAGCGCCCCCCGCACGTGACGTAGGAGCGGGGCTCGGAGTCGGCCCGGGAGTCAGTCGGCAGCGGCCGCGTCCCGCGGCGGCGGTGAGTGCGGGGCGGCCCGTCCCTTCCTCTTCCCCCGCCCGGCCCCGCCGCCGCCGCC